CAGCATACATAGAGGAACTGAATTATATCAGAGGAAGTGTGGCAATGATGCCCATGGAAAAATGGTCTGCTGTGCTGCTGTAGCTTTCAGACCCATACAGTTCAGTATACAGCTTGCCTGACCTAGGAATTCCTTAAAAAGGTCACTCCACTGATCAAAGGCTTCCTTTTGTAAGTACTGGAAAGTTAGTTCACCTACTGTTTCTTATATCTGTCCAGGATTCCAGTGATGAGATCTCTGTGCAGAGTTCCTGGGTCTACATTCTTGCTGCAGCCATTACTAGAAACTCCTGGTCTCTGATCACACTTTTATTTATTTTATACTGTATAGAAAGCATCAATAATGGTAGATAAACCCCATGAGGGATGGGAATCATGGAACAGATACTTCATAAGAATTGGAAATCCCAGGATATGAGATATGGTGAATTTTCTGCCTGTGTTTTACCATGTTTTTGACACCATAAAGCAACAAGTGAGAGTGAGCGAAAATTTACAGTTCTTAGACACCCCAAAAAAATAGTCTGAGAAATTCTAAATTACCATTAACAACCAACCAGATTCTCCTATATACTCAACAGAAGTGCTAACAAGGGACTGTTCAATTCACTAAGCTGTGAAGAATGGTTTAGTTGCCATAATCAGTTACCTTGAGTCATGTGACTGTATTTTTCAATTCTGATTGTCTGACATTGCTAAAAATAACAGTCAATGTGACAAAAGCTGAACAATTTGAGCCCAGAATCTGCTTTCTAAACTATCAAGTAACCCTACTGGTCAGTGGAAAGTCACAGCACTTAGCTCTTTAAACCTGATTCTCGACTACTCAGTCACCTGTACGTGTCACTGTCTGCACAGAGCATACAACATGCTACATTATATATGAAGCCAGTAACTGTGAACTTCACAAATGTAGCAATGATAAACCAGAGATGGAATAGAAAAAGATGAAAGAAACTTTGAAGCAGAATATTCTTTGCAATATTATATGCATGTGTATAGAGAGAGAAAATGTAATGATGGGTTCTAAAATCATATGTATATTCTTACACATATGTATCTAGAAGTTGTCAAAGCCAAACAAAACAGAGCAGAAGCTGTGCTCTCATAAATAGAAAGTGTGAATGATATCCCAATAGTCTCTAGTGATTGGATAGGCTGCATTTTCATAAGTATGAAGTATCAATGATGTCACTGGTCTCTATGAATAATAGATTCAGTTAAAAATGAAGTCTCAGTGGTGTCATTGGTCTCTAGTGAATGGATAGGCTGTGTTCACATAAATATCAAGCATCACTAGTAAGCAGAAGAAACTCCATATATTTTATAATTATTGGTTCAGGTCTGGTAATGGACAGCTGCTTCTGTAGTCCCTCCATTTATCAGCCTGCTTTCCTTTGACAAATTGCAGCATACGGGTCTTGCACAAACAAACAGGCACGTTTTCTACCACTTAATTAAATTTAAAGGGAAATACATTAGGACAGAGCTTAAATGTCAGGTCTCATTATTCATTTTTAAAGAGATATTATCCTGACACTGCTCATAAATAAGAAATGTCTGCACAGCACTCTCTTCTGCTGCTCATTATGAGGCCATGTATTGCTCAGTAGCGATTGCAGTGTTTCTATGATAATATAGGCACCTAAGGTATTACTTTATTGATGTCTACACCAGTCTGTAAAACAGCTGAGCAAGCAGCTGCCTCTGGTCTATACAAATGTAAAAATATTTACTTTGTAATCAGGAGTTGTATGCAGAATCACTTTTGTGAAGAGTACAAAAGTCCTCTAAAAGAGTGCAATAAAAATCGCTCAATGGGTCACCAATATGCCCATTTTTTGTTTTTGTTTTTTCTATAAAGTGGAGAAGGATTAGATCTTCTGTTAAACTTTTCCAACTGTATCCTCACTGGTGAAATGCCTGCTTACTTCCCGTGTTGTCACCTGAAGAGGAAGAGGGGGTAAAATTCTCCAATGAGAACACAGACACTGTATCAGCTCTGCCAAACTAAAACTAATATTTGATTGGAGTTGGTCTTTAATCATTCTAGAATAAGGTAGCCAAAAAAACCTGTTTATTATTTACCATTTTACAGCATACTATATGTATGCAAGCATCTTAAAGAAGGACTGTTTGTGCCAGCCTTTAGGAAGATTGGGAGTCAGTGGGTAGAATGCCTGCCATCACTGTCAGCTATGATCTGCTGAGGGTCAGGATGAACTACTAAAAGACACAGAGGTTTACTTACTAAAGCTGGAGAGTGCAAAATAAGGCTCACCTCTGAATATAAACCAATCAGCTTCCAGGTTTTATTGCCAAAGCTTAATTGAACAAGCTAAGGTTAGAAGATGGGCGGTTTCTATGCAGAAGTGAGCCTCATTTTGCACTCTCCAGCTTTTGTAAATAAACCCCATGGTCTATAGTTATTACTCTATGCAAACAGTCCTGTTTAACAGTGGAGTTTCACTTACTCAGACACATGCTTCATAATATAAGATCAATTAAAATCCATCAATTGAAATGTGAGATGCATCGCTTGCCAATTGCTGCAGCAAGTGTGCAGATAGGAACTCAGAAGCAGAGATTTTGCCTAGAGAAGCCCACTGAAAGAGTAAAAAAAATAAACGAGCTCACATCTACCAGAATCTGAAATACCAGTTTTTTGGTGGAAGCAAGGTCAACCGAGAACTGTGCATGAACACCAGAGCTGAAAGTTAGTGGGCTAGGCTGTGACACACCCGGTTCACATGTAACCCCTGCCCTAGACAAAGTCGCCCTATCTCTACCTATTAAGTTAAGTTATTCAGCAGCTAAAGATTTTTTTTTTTTGTCTTGGGCAAAGAAGTAACTGAAACGTTAAAACAATGCAGATTTAACTCCACATGTACCACGATCTCACAATCTGCACAAAATTTACAAAGATCCAACACTTGTTATAAATAGAAACACCCATCATCATTATTTAAAATTTGTTACAGCCACAACATTGTATTAAAGCATAAATTGAAGTAATATTAGATATATAGATATATGATTTCACTTTGCTAGTTAACACTTCACCCATCTCATATAAAAAACACCCCGATATATATAAATATATATATATATATATATATATTTATGTACTTCAAAAGTTGCATTTTGGAACGCTGAGTTATGGCTACAAGGGTTCAAAGCAAACAGTCAATTCACTTAACCTGGTGGAGACATACTGTATATAATGGTTACCGGCTAGGATATGTGCAATATGGTTGTTTTTTGGTGCTAGATGGGGACAGACTAAACAACATCGCACCATGTCTGCACTTTTATCTTTCGAAAGCCTGCAATCCAATAATGTACCAAACAAATGTAGAGTCAGAGCGACCATACAAAGGAACTTTTTTTAATGTTATGCAAAATAATTCAAGACCTCATTCCAGTAAGTGCACAGTGTATATGGTGGTAACGGTGCACAGGGGCTCAGTGATTAGCATTCTTGCCTTGCAGTGCTGAGGTCTAGGTATGAATCCCAAAGACACCATCTGCAATTAGTTTGTATATTCCCCCACCTCATACATTTGGGTGCAGATCCTCCATCAATCCAAAAATCATATTGGTAGGTCAACTGGCTCTCACACAAATTGGCTTTCTATGTGTATGACATTGGAGGGGACATTAGAGTAGTAGTTTCCTCTAATGAAAAGACTGAAGCCACTGGTACAATGCTATCTGTACAGAACTATATAAATGTATAATAACAATAATAGTATGTGACTGTGGTGGGGGCATTACAGAGTAAGCTTCTCTAGTACAGAGGTTGATGTGAATGGGTTAAATTACATATTCTGCACTTCGGAATATGTCAGCGCTATATAAATATACAATAATAATGGTGTCTGAGGAAATGTTGAGGGGCATTAGAGTGTAAGCTCCTGTGGCACAGCGAATGATGGGAATGGATCAGTATTTTCTGTACTGCACTGTGCAATATGTTAGAGCTATAATTATAATAATAGAGCTATATAATAATAATAATAATGTGTGTCTCTGATGGATTAGAGTGTAAACTCCTTTGGTGCAGAGAATGAAATGGATCAGTGTTTTATGTACTGTACTGTGAAATATGTCATAGCTATATAATAATATCAGTGCATGACATTGGAGTGTAAGCTCCTTATTTGCATGATTCCCTGCACAAAATAATATGTTTGCTGCCAATTTTCCAAGCTTGGAAACTTTTCCAAGTATGACGACCTTTAGTTTGAAGTGACATATTCTAACTGATCTAGGAATCCCATCACCCTTTACTTTTTAAATAAAATATATTTTCTCTCTCCCCACCCTTTGCATAAATTTACAGTTGACATTTCAGTCACTGAGTCTCCCTATTTCACAAACTTTCCTTTGTTCATATCAAAAGCAAATGTGAATACAGAGCTCTTTTTTGAACTGCAAAAATCCTCAGCAGAACTTTGCAATAGCTATAGGCTTACAAATAAAAAAGAGTCCTACTACAATGTTGCAGCTGCACCGAGACTCCAACTCAGCCTCTCACAGTTTAAATTCCCCACTTATTTATATATATATATATATATATATATATATATATATATATATATATTAGTTTTTTGCTTGACTTTAAAGTGACAAATGTTTATATTTACTACATCATATTCAAATACATTCATAGTTTTTAAAACACTTTGTCGTTCATGTAGAAGCTCAAATAACAGGAGTGAAAGGAACATGGAGGCGGGGAGTTGGAAAATCTTTGAAAAACAGAGTGTGCTTTTAAAGTTTTTTTCTTCTTTTTTTGCACAACACGGTTGCACGAGGGAAGAAACACTGTTGGATTTTGGTGGGGGTTTTTTTTCATCAAAAACAAGAGAGGATCTGTTTCACAGAAGTGTTGGGAAATGTTAGAAAGAAGTAGTGCTGAACGATGCTTAGTATTACAGACAGGGGAGAGCCGAGGAAGTGCTAGCGTCACATCGGGTGCTAGCGTCTCAACAACCTTCAGACATCGGTGCTGATGCTTCGGCTGCGGGAAAAGGCCTCCCTCATGGCAGAGAGGCGGTTGGGATTAAGTACCTGCAAATTGCTCAGGTTAACTGGCAGTTCAATCTCTTCCTGGCTGATGGTCTTATAGGTGATGCGTTCGCCTCCGTTTCGGACCTCCTCCGGCGGGTGCAGGAGGAAGGCGGGCGGCTCATTGTGCGAGCAGCCTTGGCAGACGCTTCGGCAGTGCTGTTGTTTCTTGTTGTAAGGTGAGGCATAAAGGGAGGGGCCATTGGCCAGGACTACATTCCGGTTGCAATGCACCGGTGGAAAGCGAGAATGGACAGCGAAATCTGGTTCTTCCTCATCCTCTTCCGAGTCCTCCTTCTTGCAGCAGTAATACTAATGGAGGCAAAAACAACACAATTACACCATATGTTTTGCTGGAAGACTCCTAAAGTCCAACTGAAACCTAATTTTAAAGTGAAACTCCAGGAAAAAAGTATTTTTGAAACACCACAATTGATATGTTACCTATAATTATTAGTATCCTATATTTGGATAGTTAGTGCATACAGTAAAAATGACAGTTTCATTCACGTTGGATACTACACACATCATTCTTCTTCCAAAGCTGCAGCTATTAGTTCTGGCAACAAACTCAGGGATTGTGTCGTTCACTCTCCCTTTCCTTCCCCTCGTCCACTCACAAAAAAAGCCCTGTATTCTGTTCGCAAGGGGAGAAGGGGAAGGTAAACAACATTTACAGAATACTTTGTATTCTGTGAAAAAAATACAAGGCTTTAGTGAATGGATGAGGGGATCCTTCATTGGTCTGTAGCTTGAATTGCCAGTCACAGTACTGGAAGAAGACGACTGCCTGTAGTATCTGGGTGAAACTGTCACCTTTACAGTAAGCAGCATCTTGCCAGAAATAATATACTAACCATTAGCAGTAACATATTAATTGCACTGTTTCCAAAAAATATATATTTTTCCCGGAGTTACACTTTACATTAGCTGTATTCCAGATGAATCAAAACAAGAGGTGTGGAAAGATATACCGTTTGTCTTCTTTAGAAAGCAGTCACAGCCTGTGTAGAAACAACTGTCCCCTGCCTGCAGAGTTAATCTCTTGCTTCCAGTGTAGAAGCAGTGGTCTCATTGCAGGGCTCTGACATAACCCCTTCTGAGTCAGAACTATTGCTCTAAAATCAGCAAAGGTCATGATGCCTGCTGATTGGAGAGCTCTGGCTCTGACCTAGTAGGGGACATGTTGGATCTCTGCAAATAGATCACTGCTTCTCTACCAGGAGAAATTAGCCAACTCTGCAGCATGCTAGCAGGGACTGGCTTTTCTACACAGGCTGTGGCTGCTTTAGAAAAAAAAAGCAAACTGTAAGACACTGAACACCTTTGATTAAATTGCACCTGGAATGTATTTAACTGATTTAAACTGAAGGTTTAGTTAGACTTTAATTTTATTATTTCTGCTTAGTATAAATTATATCTGAGTGTGCTGTAATAAGGATATTGGCCTCAGGCCAAGTGCATTTAAAGATCACATGACTACAAGGTTTCTTAATTCATGTCTGAGACTTTAACAGTAGAAAGGACCTCACTAATCATCATGGCTTGTTTCACAATATAAGTCAGCATCTCCCGCTCAAATATGACTATTTAGAAAAATTAAGGGAACCTGTTAGGTCATAATGGTTGTCACAATATAGGTGCTCTGCCAGCCCCTATTATTAATTCTCTCATTAATCCCTTGTGCCCAGAGGAAGTACATCCTCAATTAATGTCCCACTCTCTTGTGCCAAATGTCCCCAAATTCAATTAAATGTGTTCCCCCCCCCCCCCACTGTCATCCTGCTTTATAGCCCAAATGCAATCAATGTATCTCCTTTCCTGGCATCCTGCTTTATGTGCCCAAATGCAATTTAGTGTCTCCACCATTGTCGCCCCTGCCATTATCTCTCCCCAGAGATAGCGAGATTCAAACCTGTCCGCGGAGAGGTGCGAACCTCCTGCGGGGATGTTCCAGACCATGGCCTCAGACTGATGCCAACTGGTCCTGGCATCCACAGCGCGGGCACGGAGAGTTCCCGCGCTTGCGGATGTCCCTGGACAAAGGTCGTGGTCACAAGAAGCGCGGCCCGTGTCCAGGGGGCGTGCCTAGTTGCCGGGCAACGAGGCCCGCCGGCCCACCCACAGTTGCCAGAACGACTGGAGAGTGTACTGCATCAGCTTAAGAAGGCTGATGCCAGGCTCCAAGATCATCTTCTCCGCTGCGCAGCCATCAAGGGAGCCCAGCTGCAGCGGGACCCTCGTGGCTAACTCTGCCAAAGACCCTAAGAAGATGGGGGGACCCTGCACATGCCAACCCTGCCTAAGACCTCCAGCCAATGAGGGGAGAGACCGCAAACGCCAGCCTGCCTGAGACCCCCAGCCAGAGGGGGAGACCGCAAACGCCAGCCTGCCTGAGACCCCCAGCCAGACTGGGGAGACCGCACACGTCAGCCTGCCTGAGACCCCCAGCCAAAGGGGAGAGATCGCACACGCCAGTCTGCCGGAGACCCCCAGCCAGAGGGAGGGGGAGAACCCACACGCCAGCCTGTCTGAGACGCCAGCCAAAGGGGGGAGGTCGCAATACCAGCCGGCCTGAGACCCAGCTAAGGGGAGAGACCACCTGCCTACTCCGGACCCCAACAGGTACCTGTGTCATACTATTGTATCCCTGGGATCCGTGAGTGTATGCTTTCCCGTTTTGCCTGAACTGTTCCTGAGCTGTTCCCCTACCCCCCTGTTGGATTACAATCTGTCGCAGAGACTTTACCTTTGCCCCTTGGGGCTGGACTACAAGTGTTTTTTGCCCTCTCCATACTATCCCCCTAGTGGCGAGGTCAACCCCCTTGCAATTCCCCCCTATTGAGTGACTGTCATTTTGCCTCAATAAAGCTTTGTCTGTTTGCTATCTGCCTTGTGTGTTCTGTCCTGACTACCCTCCGTCACAATGGCATTTAAGCTAACAATACTAACAACAAATAAGATTTTTCAGGTGACTTTGTAAAAGTGATATTAAACCCTCACTTTCAGCAGCTGATTTAATTGCTTTCTGAGTATGCAGCTTTTTTATATTTTAATCCTTGCCTATGTTCCAAATTAAATTGGTACCATGACCGCTGCCTCAGGTTTTCAATTGAAGAGTGCTTCCTTTCACTTGCAGCATCCTATGGGGCCACCTTTGCATGCAGGAACTAGAGTTGTGTCTCCCTACACTTGTTGCATCACTAGAAACACAAAGCCCCTTGCCTACAATGGCAAGGCATTCCTCTGTTCCTCCCTCCTCCTCCCCCTCTCCAAGCTAACAGGCTGTCTGAAGACCGCATTGTCCACTGTTAACTCTTTCCTGTGAAGTCTGGAAGTTCAGAGAAGCAGCACGGAAAGAGTAGAAGTCAGCAGCATTAAAAGTTGTATACTGCTTGAGTAAGAATTTTAACAAAATACTGGGGAATGTTTATTTTTATTGTGTCGAATGTTTAACACTAATCCCAGTCACCGTGGATTTAAGCGCACTTAACCATTCAACTATCTGATGTGGCCAGCAGAGAGTTAAATGGTGAGCTGTTGATTGGCAAGATAAGGTGTGCCTATTCAGAAAATATAAATATTTTAATAAACTATTGCTTAATGACATTTTCCATGACTTAAGTGCCAGCTTGGTGCAATGTCTTACCTGTAGCCTGCAGTAGCAGAGAACAGCGATAATACACAGAAGGATAACAGTCGCTAATATACCACCGGTGATGACCACAGTCCCGGCTGTCATTCGACCGTCTCTCCATTAACCACCTACAGGAGGAAAAGGAATAGCCAATGAACACACTGTAGCAATACCATAACTACAAGAACAAAAAAAACATGTTTATGCTACCCTTATGCAGACAGTGCACATCTGTGGTACTCCAGATAGATATATTTATGTACCACCACACATACAGCTTTTATTATGCAATGGATATTTCAGGTTGTTGGAGTACCACCATCTGGGTATATAAAGCTAAATTCCATCTGTTCTCATGGATAAAGCCCTTAAGTCATACACTTCCACAGGAGAGTTGATGATGTAAGACCAGACATGCTGAAATAAACTAGTAAAATAAACAATGGGTGCAGCGCTTAAATAGAAATGACCACAAATAATGCATACAATATGAACATATGCAAAAGTGACTTATAATAAAGTGCTGATAAATAACTAAATAAATGACGTGACTCAATGGGGTTTATTTACTAAAGCTGGAGAGTCCAAAATCAGACTCCCTTCTGCATAGAAACCAATCAGCTTCCAGGTTTCATTGCCAAAGCTTCATTGAACAAGCTGAGGTTAGAAGCTAATTGGTTTCTATGCAGAAGGGAGTCTGATTTTGGACTCTCCAGCTTTAGTAAATAAACCCCACTGTGTCAAATAGTACTTGTCACTGCACGTGATCCATAATGGTGCATACAGTAAAGTGCAAAACCTGTAATCCACACATATAATCATTATCCGTGTCACTGCGCCGTGACTACACATGCATACAAAGTGATATATGTAAGCATATAGTCCACAATATCCCAGTGGGTTAGGTGCATGGAAGATCACAAGGATTCCCAAAAACTGGTAGTTTTAATACAGTATGTGATGGTGTATCTAAACTGATCTGGAGGTTATTTGGTACCTTTTGGTGTTTCAGCGGCTGTAGCGACTTCTAGCGCTCGCTTACCCACTCTGTGTTTATTATGAAATAAACTAGTAGTTAGGGAAGGTGCTGAGATTTTTATTATATATATATATATATATATATATATATATATATATACACACATATACACACACACACACATATATATATATATATATATATATATATATATATATATATATATATATACACACGCAAACACAGTGCTGTGCAAACATTTTAGGCAGGTGTGAAGACATGCTGTAAAGTAAGAATGCTTTCAAAAATATCTGTTTTGTTTATTTTTATCAATTTGTAAATCACTTGCACACTTTGTACCTTTGTACACTAGCACAAAGTCAGGGATTTTGAAGGACTAGAGTCAGGTATCTGATTAACCAATTATACCAATCAGGCTCTAACGATCATTTATTTCATATTTGGGTTGAAAAACAGTCATTAAATAGCTGCCGACCGCAGCTAGCCGAATGACGGCTGCACTGCGGCCGGCCAGTTCTGGGTGGACGTCATATGACGTCCTCCCAGAACGCACTCTCCTGCGCGCCCCAGGGGGCGCGCACCCGGCGATCTCCGTGTTCGCTGTGTCCTACGGACACAGCTGATCACGTGATGTGGTAAAAGGCCAATCACAGCGGCAGTTGTCAGAGCGGGGACCGGCACCGATCATCAGGGCACTGATGATCAGTGCCCTGATGATCGGTGCCCAGCAGTGCCACCTGCAAGCTCCGCCCACCTGTGCCCAGCAGTGCACCCACTAGCTCCGCCCACCTGTGCCCAGCAGATCACCCACCTGTGCCACTCTGCAGTGTCACACACCTGTGCCCAGAAGTGCCACCCACCTGTGCCCAGCAGTGCCACCCACCTGTGCCCACCTGTGCCCACCCACCTGTGCCCACCCCAGTGCCACCCACCAGTGCCACCCACCAGTGCTGCCAGTCAGTGCCACCAGTCAGTGCCCAGGGGTTGTGCCAGTCAGTGCCGCCAGTCAGTGCCCAGCAGTGATGCCAGTCAGTGCCGTCTATCAGTACCCATCATCAGTGTCACCTATCAGTGCCGCCTATCAGTGCTGCATATTAGTGCCGCCTATCCGTGACACCTCATTAGTACTGCCTATCAGTGCCCTTTAGTGCTGCCTATCAGTGCCCATCAGTGCCGCCTATCAGTGCCCATCAGTGCTGCCTCATCAACGCACATCAGTGAAGGAGAAAAATTACCTGTTTGAAAAATTTTATAATAGAAACAAAGAAACTTTTTTTTTTTTTTTCAAATTTTTTGCAATTTTTGTATTTATAGCGCAAAAAGTAAAGCGCCCAGTGGCGATTAAATACCACCAAAAGAAAGCTCTATTTGTGAGAAAAAAATGATCAAAATTTCATATGGGTACAATGTTGCATGACCGCGCAATTGTCAATCAAATTGCGGCAGCGCTGAAAGCTGAAAATTGGCCTGGTAAATAAGGGGGTATAAGTGCCTGGTAGGCAAGTGGTTAAATAAAACAGAACAGGCTGTGTAAGAAGCTTAAGCTGGGTGAGGAACAATCAAACTCTGTTACTAAGGTGAGGTTGAGAAAGAAGAAGTTTCATGTCACAGGTCGTACACCATGGCAAGACTGAGCACAGCAACAAGACACTAGATAGTTATACTGCATCTGTAAGGTCTCTCCCAGGCAAAGATTACAAAGCAGGCTGGGGTCTCATGATGTGCTGTCCAAGCTTTTGAAGAAGCACAAAGAAAGACACCCATCTACTGTCCAGAGAAGTCTGAAAGTCCATAGCTGTGGACTGTAAATCACTGAACATCTCCTCTGCCTGAGCATGTGGAAAGTGTTTACCTGTCTGGTGGAGAAAGAATGACAGTAAAGTAATTTAAACATGAAAAATACATGAACTGACACCACATAACAAGTTATTGCAGTTATTCTGGAGAAAATGAACCTGTCATTCTATTTTTGGAAGTCCTAGTTATGCGGCATTACAGGTCTGCGTCTGGAAATCTGTTTAATTTCCGTCAGACTCCAAGATTAAAAAAGATGAATCTCTGGCCTTTATCAATATTCTGCAGACGTGAGGAATAATTGTAACAATATATCAATCATGTGTCGGATCATAAGATTAATTATCCAGCTTTTTCGATTCCAGAACATTTCTAAACGGTGGAACAAAACATTGCCCGGAAAGCCATGCTCTCGGCCCTAAACAAGATCATTCCACCAGGGAACAAACACAGCATGTTTCACATGCTTTACCCCGGGGGAGCAATTCAGTCTCTTATATCAGTGATGGGCAATAAAGAAAATGCTCTTCACATCAGGCAGGTGAGATCTGTCCAGAGCAGTAAGGTTTGGGAGCTGTTTATGGATACTTGTCATATGAGAAATAAAGTAGCTACCAGAAAAGAATACCAGTTACAAGTTCTGAATTCACTTGGAGCATGCCTGTCCTCCTCTGACAGGTACTGAAGCCAAAGGCAGCCAGGCACACATCATGTTTTTAGACAAGGTCAGCAATGACAGCCCCTGTATTTCTCTTATGTTAGATTTATTATTTAATAAACCACAGATAGTTAACTACTGAGTAACATTAAAGATAATCTGTCACTTTTTCCATGTAGGTTCTCTTGATAGCCATTACTACTCCCTGTTCACCCAGGGAAGTGATGAGTTTAGTCCCTGAATTTGTTCTTTGTCAGTCTGTATCAGAGCTTACACATGGTTTATGATCTTCTCCCCTTCCTCATGTGACAAGTTTTTGGATCTAGTGATTGGCTGCTCAAGTCCTGGTAATGCATCCTGAGAGGCAGGGGAAAAGGTCACATGGTCTCCCATTAGTGGAAATGCAAGGTATCTCCCCTGCAAGATGAACATAGTTGTGGGAAAGAGCGCTAAAAGTACCAGTGGCGCAGGGTGCCCCGAAAAGAGAACCTGTCATGTTGCCCTGAACTGGAAAAGTAACTGATTCCCTCTTAAGAATTTAATTGCAAGGATACATCGGGGATGGATTATAATCCTTGTGTTAGGGTATCACTGGGTTCAAAAGCATTCATATCTTATTTACCATAGGATCAACATTAGGCTATCCTATAGGATAAGACAGCAAGACTTTTGGTTAATTCTTGTTACATGTTGCATGCTGAAAATATTTTTATGTTTCTGTGTATTGAGGGCAAACAGTATATGAAAAGACTGTTCATTTCATGCAAAATGCTAGACAATTTCTAGTTTGCAAATTCTTTTTCTAGATAAGACAATTTGTTGAGAAGATTTAATAAAACTCACACAATTTGTTCAGGCTTCCTTTCACTAGTTAGATCACTATCTTGTCTATGAGTACTTAAGTACTTATAGCTAGCAGTTTAAACAAACATTGATGACAGCTTCTTCCAACATGTGGTTTAGTAGCCGTTAATGATCTTCAGATATGAGCTACTGAACAAGTGCACCAAATTTGGCTGTAACAAGGACTAGGACATATTGTAACCACTACAACATCTGGCTGTTCAGCAAAAAAAATAATTCAGGTTACATATTCAACATAGTATATTGTCACACTGTGATAGGGGACACTCACGGCAGTTCACTAACTGCCTATGCACACTGTAAACAATACAAGGATCCCAAACTCAAACTGACATCTTTCACAGATTATTTTACAGATAACGGGCTGCTTTGTTTTGTCTTTGTTAATGGCCTACAGTATACCAGCAAATGAGCCACCTTAGAGAATTTAGCTGCCTCAAGAAACCCCAGACATACTATTACAGCTGTCATATGAGGCATGGCAAAAATGACCAGTTTATCATGTATTCAGATATGTTTGAGTGCAGCTCTCCTTTTCAAATTCACAGATTTAACTGAATAGCACCAACCACAGAGTTGTTTACACACTGAAAAATGACCACTTGAAGTAAATTTAGCATGTCAGTGTGTGGCCATAGTCTCAGAGTCGATCATCACAAGCAAGCCACAGCTAATAAAAGGTCAGCTGAAGAAGACATGAGATGATTGCCTTCACTGACGACATGTAGACAAACTGCATCAGTTCACCTTGAGCGCAGCTTTTTCTGCGTCATCAATCTAGTGTATTGT